ATCTATTTATAGGGTTGTGGGGATTAAATGAGATAATTCAGGTAAAATGCTTAGAGTGATTTATTATTATTATTATTATTATTATTATTATTATTGTGTTTGGTCTTTGGCAAGATTGCCAGTATATTTCTGATTAATGATAGTTGTGGGAATACTTACATTGTGATAGAAACAGTACAGCATGAGATTGTTACTATATCCATGCTACTATATCAGCCTAGATAATTGACACATTTGAATACATAGATATTTTGGCTGACTCAGAAAATTTTAATTTTATGTTTTTTTTCAAATAGAGGCTTATTATTTTGGTTAAATTGTAAACCCATCATCCATTCGTGGTCAAAGGAAAATTGTCCATAATAATTTTAGAAGATTTACATGCTAGACAGGCAACTATTGTACTAAAAGCTGCATCTGTTGGGAAGTCTGTATTGCAGAGACTGGATCATATTGTAGGCAATAATGGCCTTAATTAAAGAAGAAAATGCCCAATTAAACTAAGTCATTATTGCTGTCTACTAAAATGAATTGGCTGCCATGAGGAGAAATCTAAGGAGAACATTACTCATATTTCTAATCAGGTATCTAGAATGATTGATTAATAATCAGTTTAATTTTGCCCATATTTATCCTTGAGATGAGTATGTAAGACTGAATTTTAACTATTACTTTGTCTTTAAATTTTTTTTTATTATCCCTGAGTTTGACTCCCTATGTGACTGGAACAGAGCTTCTGCAAGTTTAAGAGTCCCTCCGCTTCTGGGGGTTACTTTGAAGGTCTAATGACTGTGTAGCCTTGTGCTAAGGCTGTCTGTGAGAGGAGCTGTGTCTCTGCTTACATGTAGACAGGCTGAAACTAGCCTATTGTGCCCTTTCTGAGAAAGGTGAGTACTGGCTGTTGGGAAATCAGAAAATTCCTGGCAGAGCCTTTAAGATAATACCTTAGTGGAATTTAGATGAAGTCATGTGTAAAGTCTAAACCACACCAATGTTCTCATAAGTAGTTGAAATGAAATTAGAATGGATCTCATTGGGACACTGGGTTTTAACAGCCAGAACATGTTAGTCACACTGACTTCTGTGAAAGTGGTTAAACAAGTTACTGACTTAATTACCCTTTGGTATACTTTTCTGCATTTTAAAGTTATCTTTACTGGAGCTCAGTCATTTCATTTGAAGATACCCAATCACCTAAAGTTAAAAAAGATCCCTAAAGACGAGCTTTCAGTACTAACATGGTTCAGATCTTGGTCTTAGTGATGGGCTCATTCTTTGTAGACCTAATTATGTGTCCCCAGCCATGTGACTTCTTCAGGAAGGGATTCAGAGAGCAATAATTTCATCTCTTCAGCTAAGGACCTTCCCTTTCTTCTGCAAATCCCAAGCTGCTATCCTTCTGGTCAGTTCTTTAGAGCACTCTGCTTTCCTCCCCTGGCTAAAGGGTATGGGTCATACTTTAAGCAGCATTTTGACATTTCAGGGGCATGTCAGAGCACTGACCTATAAATTGTCAGGGATCCATTCCATGTCAAACTTTTATTATTATTATTTTTTGAGACAGAGTCTCACTATGTAGCTCAGGCTGGCCTTGAACTCAGGGCAATCGTGCCTCAGTCTCCTGAGTGCTGGGATTACAGATGTGCACTGCCGTGCCTGGCCATCCATGCCAAAACTTTTTTTGAGACGAATTTGAGAGAAATAGTCCAGGAAACAACTGAAATATAATTTTCATGTTTTTGTAAATTTTATCCCTGTATGGTTAGACTATCAGAACCTTGAACTATGAGGTCTTTGACTATCTTTTTTTACTGAAAAAAATAGAGTCTTAATTTATGCCCTTGCATTTTATGGAAGACAGTTTTAATGTGTAAGAAACTTACATATGTAATATTCCTACGCTTTTGCTCACTGGAGACTGTAGACATTAGTCTTTATGTTACTCTGTATCCTTTTTGAGAGGAATCCCATGATAAAATCCATTTATGAATTCATTCTCTGTAGCCAGAAAATAATTGCCTATTCATATGAATTTCTATGTTTCCTTTTTATCAAGCCATGAGAAGTATGCAACAATATGATTCTTTTTTTACTTTTCCTGCTGGCAAGAGCAGCATTAGATTTAGAGCTCAGGAAGGGGCCTAATGAAGATTATTTCCCTGATCTTTTCCTATTTATTTTTTATTACATTGTAAGTATGCAATTTTATCCTTTTTGGAAGTAGATATAGTATAAATTTTATATACATACATCTCCTTATAAGTAATCTGTCATTCCCACCTTGTATGTATTATGTATTATATCTTGGAGGACATATTATTCACGTTTCCATCCAGATTTGGGTACTACATGAGATCTATTATACTTTTTTTAGACCTTACATTAAGTCATCAGACCCAAGGGAAGTTTTTAACTTTGGTTGATTCCAGTGCTTTGACCATAAAATGAAGACCTCATTGGTCATTACAAGGCTGCCATTACTCCACTCTCCCTTCCTCCTGCTGGCTTCCTCAAGCATATCCTTCTCAGGTGCATTTTCTAAACAGGTAGGTAGCCCAGATAACTTCCCCATCTCTTTTTTTCTGAGTTGACTTCTCACTCGTACTCCTTTTAGTTCCACATGTCCTGGATCTGTGGCGCATTTTGAGACCAGTTGAAGAGGATGGAAGAAGGCCAGTGCGGTTGCTGTGGAAGGTGACTTCCCTTTGGGTTATTTCCTTATTTATTTCCTTTTGTAAAAAACCTGGGGCTGTCACCTCTCTAAATACTGCAATTCCTGAAACTGAACCTCCTGAACTTCATTCCTGAGAGGGCTTTATGGTGCCTCTGATCTCACTATGGTTGCCCAGCTTGGGAAGGCCCCATAGGTCATCTTATAGATGGCTGGAATGTACTGATACCCCATGATCCCTCCCTTTTATCTAACATTAACATTTTGGGCAGTTACAACGTGTAAATGTAAGAGGCATCATGGCCTTCTGCAGGAAGCCACTCCTGGATGGCCTCCACTGGAACGCGAGGTAAGACTGAGAGCACCAACTGTGTCCTCAGGCAACAGATCTTGGTCATTGTCAACATGTGTCTCTTTGAGTGCTGACATGATGAGGTACACAAGCAGAGAGGGACCAAATGGTCTTTTGTAGTGTGGAAGTCTGAGAGTGAGGGAAAGGTAGATGCAACAGGGAAAAGGAGAAAAAAGGAGGTGACAGGAGAAGAAAGAAAGCCACAGAAAAGGAAGGGAAGTAATTCAACAGGAAAAGAAAAGGACAAATAGAAAAAAAAGGGCAGGGAATGGGAGAGAAAAGATAGGAAGTTGAGGGTTAAAAAAAAGGTAGAGAAGAGTGAGATATCAAAACTTTTTCATATGTCCCCAGAATTCTCAGGAAATACTCATTATGTTATTTCATACTTGCTAAAGTTCAGGCAAGGTAAAATACCTTTAAAAATAGAGGAATCACCCTGGTTTTCCAAATCATATCCCAATCCCAGTTACTTCAGGGCTGGAGCATCCCCTGCCTTTGTCACTCTCCCTCAACATCCTCAGGGCTGGGGGACACTCTCAGGTTTCAGAGGCCACAGACAAGGGACAGCATAACATGGTGTTGGGAAATCTTTGAAAACCAATCCCAGATGTTGTGATTTCTTTCTCATTTATCAAGTATAGAAACAGATAACTCTGTACACATTGAAAGTAAACAATGACACATACCCACATGTTATCTTAGCTACATAGGAGTGCGTAAGGGTCAAGTAGACCAGCCTGTGAAGTAGATGAGATGGGCTACAGTGCCTCATTCAGTCTGTTTCACCTGGGAATTGTTCCTTCCTTCGCCTCAAGAGGAGCGTTTTCTAAGAATTTGAGTTGCCTAATAAAGTATGTACTAAAATATGTACTCTCAGATTAGATAGTTTTAATGGTTGCATGTGTCTGTGAATATCCTTTAAAACCACTGAATTGTACACTTTCTAACAGCGAATTTTGTAGAATGTACATTGTATCTCAGTAAAACTGTTATTTTAAGAAGATAGTGGATTGTCTTGTGAGATAAAGGACCATAGTCATTAGGAAGATTCTAGCTAGTCTTTTAGGCTGTGTTCTGTGTAGAGGAAATTCTTACACTGGCAAGACAAAGGGCCAGAGAAACTTCTAATACCCTGCCTGAGTCACAGATTGAGTCATTTTGTGCCATCTGTGTTTTAAATCAATGACAGAAACTGAAAAACTGGGAAACTTTATAATTCCTGAGAAAACTCAGCATCTTGACTCCTACGTAAAACAGCTGGTTAGTAGGTCCAAGTTCAAGGCTGAAAATAAGAATTTGGCTTAGAGCCCCTGGGATTGCACTTTAGGTTTCTCTCCAAAGATTTGGGACTGTCAGGGCACCTGAATGTTTTAGTCCTCTTAGCTGGATGCCTGGCTGGGGGCTGGTCCAGGGAAGTGGGCTCTCTCCTTAGAGGGAGAGGTATGGACATAAAAGACAAGGGCATGAGTACTCTCTGGTTTTTGGAGGCTTCCAGGTGAGAGATGACCAAAGATCAGACCAGAATTAAGACTGGCTCATAGGAAATGCCTTGACTTTTTAGCTTTTACCCTTCTGCCCTTCTGTGCTAGAGTAAAGATACAGCCAGAAGAAATGGCGATGGCTTGTTTACATGGCTCAGGTATACTCCAAAGTTAGCCCCATGAAATTGAACTTATATTAGGGGTTGATACCAAGATACCATTTAGTATATTCCCCTTCTGGCACTCAAGGGGTTCATATCACAGCATGAGTACGTTATTCATCCTTGACGGATACATACATGATTGTAGTTTAGCATCTAATAGCTAACATTACCCACTCTCACTCTCCATTCCACTTCTCACTGTCTGAATGTCTTTTTTATTTTTGGTGTTGCAAATAAATTTTGTTTCCTTTGGGTTCAGAAGGCAAAAGGAGCCCCAGTTCTGGAGAAAACACTTGGCTACAACATTTGGTACTTTCCAGAAAACAACACTAATGTCACAGAGATGAGGACTACTAACCAGACACTTGACCTGTGTCTCAGAGGCGAGACCTATAGGGTGTCTGTGATTTCATATAATTCTCTTGGGAACTCTATACCAGTTACCCTGAGGATTCCAGATATTCATGAGAAGGGTAAGTGAGCATAAGTTTCTTACTTGGATGCCTGGTCCTGTCCAATTCTTCAAGGAGCAGTTGTTGTCTTCTTAATGATAATTATTTCTCTTAAGTCAAAATGAAAAGAAAGCAAAGACTTTTTAGGTTGTGATGGAGAAAACAGAATCTACTGGTAACTAATAAGCCCCTTGAAATAAAGTTCCTTTAGAACATAGCCTGTAATAAATATTAGAGGCTTTATATATTCTTAGAGTGCATAATCATAAGCCTAAAGGCTTTACATGTGGCTTATGTTTGCTCCAGTCTAGGTGGATGAAAGCTAGGTGGAGCCATATGAAAAGGGCCATATTTGAAACTTTTTTCCTCAGTGCCCAAAGCCTCTCTTGAATCTTCCTTGTAGATGGGATCAACTATGGCCCCAGCGGTGGCTTAATGCTCATTTCCTGTTTTCTCCCAATTTCCCCCTTCTGTTTAACTACCAATATATTGCTCATTATACTTTTTGTTTTGAGACAGGCTCTCACTATGTAGTTCAGGCTGGCCTTCAACTCACTATGTAACCCAGGCTGACCTCAAACTCTTGGTGATCCTCCTGCCTCAGCTCCTGAGTGCTGGGATTACAGGTGTGTGCCACCATGCCCAGCTGTTCATTATACTTTTGATAAGTAATTTTGAACATCTTTTAAAAATTTTAAATGAATTTTATCGGTACATTTTAGGTATACAATATAATGACATTCATCATTGGAAATTTG